GGGGGGGGGGGGGAGTGGGTCACAAATTGCCGATGAGTCAACAACGGGACGCAGTTGCAAAGAAGGCTCCTGTCATTTGGAGACGTATTAACAGGAGTGTCAGATCAGCGGGCGTGTTGTGACCAGCTCTGGGCACCGCACTTTAGGAAAGATGGGGACAAACTGGAGAGAGTCCAGAGGAGCGCAGCAAAAAATGATCAAAGGTTTAGAAAAGCTGACCTCTGAGGAAAGGTTAAAATCATTGGGCAGTCTAGAAGACTGAGGGGGGACCTAATAACACTCTTCCAGCGTGTTAAGGGCTGTTATAAAGAGGCTGGTGATAAATTGTTCTCTGTATCCACTGAAGGTGGAACAAGAAGCAATGGGCTTCATCAGCAGCAAGGGAGATTTAGGTTTGATGTGAGGAAAATCTTTCTAACTATGAGAGTAATTAAGCTCTGGGATCAGCTCAAGGGAGGTGGTGGGATCCCCCTCGCTGAAGGTTTTTAAGAGCGGGTTGGAGAAACACCTGTCAGGACTCGTCTAGGTTTACTTGGTCCTGCCTCAGCACAGGGGGCTGAGCTGGATAAAACCTCGAGGTCTCTTCCAGCCCATTGCTACGATTCCATAAGGCCAAGTTCTCTGCGGGCATAGAGGGGTGAAACACCATTGAAGTCAGCGGGGCAGGTCCTGTTCACAGCAGCAGAGATTTCAGCCGTGGAGCAGAATTACCTAGCCCCCGGTGAAGGCAGCGGTAGATGGCTGGCTGGCTGGCTGGCTGGCTAGTCCCCGGTGAAGGCAGTGGTAGATGGCTGGCTGGCTGGCTAGCCCCCAGTGAAGGCAGTGGTAGATGGCTGGATGGCTGGTTAGCCCCCAGTGAAGGCAGCTGTAGATGGCTGGCTGGCTAGCCCCCGGTGAAGGCAGCGGTAGATGGCTGGCTGGCTGGCTAGCTAGTCCCCGGCGAAGGCAGTGGTAGATGGCAGCGGTGAACATGGCCTTTTGCTTAGTTTAATTTTTGTTCCACTGGCTTTATGGTACTGTACTTGAAAAACCTTCTGACTCGTTAGCTCAAAGCTAGATAGGAGAGGATCTAATGTAACTCTGTGGAGAGAGTACAGGGGGCGCTAGATGGTTGGGGAGTGCTGCTGTCGAACAGCTGCCATGTTCCGCCCCAGATGCAGCTCCATGTTCAGAGGGCATTGCTGAGTGCATATAGCTTGTAAAGTGCTATGGGATCCTTCACTATCCCAGTGTAAAACAGGATTAATTTCTCCTTCCATGGAAATTCAGCCGCCTCTGGGGTGGAACACAGCCCCGACTCTCCCTCAGCAGCACTAAACCCACAGGTGAAGATCAACGTATCCAGCTGAAATACCAGGTGCTTGGGATAAAAAGCGACTTCCCAATGCGGAATTTAGCCAGCGCCCCAGGGCTGACACCCCCAGCCTCACATCCTATCCTGTCATTATATAAAAAAGCACTGTCAGCTCTTTGGCGCCGATGGCGATGAAGACGGTGTTTCCGGTGAAAGCCAGCACCGCGCCCCCTAGCACTCTGCCAAGTGCCCGCTTGGGCCAGACTGAGAAGACCACCAAAGCGCTGGGCTTTCCTTGGCAGGCTCCAACCCACAGACTCACTAGCACCCGCCTGCTTAGCTCACCAGCGGGCTGCCCAGGGCGGCCCGGGCTGGCAAGTGCAGAAGTCTCTTGGTAATGGTTTTGGCTGGGCACAGAGCTGTCTGAAGTGCAGCCAGCAAGACGGTTGCCGGGCCCGGCCCTTGTGTGTATTTTTCCATGGATGTCACTTTGCCTGTGGAAGGAGCTGTTGGCCAGGGAGCCTCCGTGGTATATTGTGTCTGTACACCCACGGAGGAATATACCACGGAGGCAGGTCTGGACGCCCCGTGCCACGTCACAGGCCTGTGTGGGATAGGCAAGCCCATTGGCCAAAGGAATGACACACTATGTTCTTAAAACATCCCAGAACAGTGCTCCTCCGTAATACGTTGTAGCCCGATCCGGGCCTGGACAGGGAATCTCCTAGCACAAAGATGTGGCTGCAGGGAGTCAATGAACATGCATCATGGCCCAGCCCATCAATCCACCCTCTAGAGCAGGGGTGGGCAAACTTTTTGGCCCGAGAGCCACATCGGGGTTCCAAAACTGTATGGAGAGCCAGGCAGGGAAGGCCGTGCCGCTCCCAACAGCCTGGCCCCCGCCTCCAATCCGCCCCCACACACTTCCTGCCCCCTGACTGCCCTCTTCAGAACCCCCGACCCGTCCAACCCCCTCTGCTCCTTGTCCCCTGACTGCCCCACCCCCTATCCACACACCTGGCCCCTGACAGGCCCCCCAGGACTCCCACGCCTATCCAACCCCCCACCCCTGACCGCCCCCCCCCAGAACCTCCGCCCCATCCAACCGCCCCCTGCTCCCTGTCCTCTGACTGGCCCCCACGATCCCTGCCCCTTATCCAACCTCCCCTCCCCCTTACCGTGCTGCTCAGAACAGCACGACTGGCAGTCCCACCGCCCAGAGCGCCGGCGAGGCTGCGGGGGAGGGGGGACATCAGGGGAGGGTGTCACGGAGTGTGGGGGGACACAAGGCCCTGTACCCCCGGCTTTCTGCGATTTACCATGACTCTTAGCCAGCCAGTAAAGCAGAAGGTTTATTTAGATGACAGGAACACAGTCCAAGACAGGTCTTGCAGGTACAGACAACAGGACCCCCTTAGTTTGGTTCATCTAGGGGCCCCAAGGACAGCACAGCCCCGGGGGGGGGGCAGAGCCCTGTCTGGGCCCCCCTCCATTTCACCAGCCAGCTCCAAAACCCTAACTCCCTCCAGCGTCTCTCACTCAGCCTTTTGTCCATTTCCTGGGCAGAGGTGTCACCTGGCCTCCAACCCCCTTCCTGGGTTCTCATGTTACATGCTCAGGTATTGTCCCTCAAGGCCAGTCTCCCATCCCGCAATGCAGACTGTCCCAGCCAAACTTTCCCCTCAGCATTCAACGAACACATTAAGAACAGTCCCAGTTCGTCACAGAGGGGCTGGGGGCTAGCCTCCCTGGCAGGGAGCTTAAGGGTCGGGCAGGATGGTCCCACAGGCCGCATGTGGCCCGCGGGCCGTAGTTTGCCCAGCTCTGCTCTAGATCCAGACGCAAAGAAAGGGATTTTTCTTTTTGTATTTAGATCTGTAATGCCGGGAGAACAATGATCTTACATTGATAGGCGGCGTCTCCGAAGGGATCTGGGAACAGCGGCTATACGCGAGGATCACATTATCCCCTGCTGAAATGCAGCTGCCTCTGGGGTGGGATAAAACAGCACAGTAACACCGCACAGTGATTTAGGCAGCAGGAAGTGGGAAATGGGGCCAGATCCTCAGCTGGTGTCAGTGTCGCTTCATTAAAGTCAATGAGGATTGTCACCAGCTGAAGATCTGGTCCCATATCTTTCTCCAGCTTTACCAGCAAAGGGAATTTAGCAAAGGACACCAGAATTACCAGCCTAGCCTAGATTCTGCTGCGCGCCATTGGAGTAAGTCTGGAGGTGAAGGAAAACAGTGGCATATCACGGTCGGTGGAGTCCCGCGCCATGGCCCCAGGGCTGTGCTTAGCATTTAATGCAGTGGTCTCCTGTTCCCTCTCGTCTAGTTCCCCCCATCCCCAATAGAAAGGGCACTCCTGCCCCCCCCCCCATGCCAGCCTAGCCCAGCGTCAACGTGGAGACCTCACTGCTTCCTTTCCTAATGCCCCCCTTGCTGCTTTGTCTGCAGGGCCCTCCGCTCCCAACAGGACACGTCTGCACTTCCACTTCACCCAGGATGCCGGCAGGAGCGTGCAAATCCTCCATGCCGACATGTACGTGTTCCTGGCAGCCCCCGGTGGCCCCGCGCGCAGGGTCAGGGCAAAGCTGCTGTTGTCCGAGCCGGGCGATGCAAACCCGACGCTGGTCGGCAGGCGGCAGCTGGAGGTGAAGCGGGGAGGCTGGGCCGCGGTGGAGGTGAGGACAGCTGTCCAGAGCTTCTTCAGCAAAGGCGGCCAGAGACTAACGGCGGAGCTGGAGCTTGAAGGAAGCCCGGAGCCTGCCCTGCTTCTCAGCAGCAGCGACTCTCACCGGCCGTTCATGGTGGCCAAGGCCCGGGCCAGGCCCCGACACCGGATTCGCCGCCGGGCCGTCGAGTGCAATAGCAAGTCCAGGACGTGCTGCAGGAAGCAGTTCTTCGTTGACTTCAAGGAGATCGGCTGGGAGGACTGGATCATCCAGCCGGAGGGCTACCGCATGAACTACTGCACGGGGCCCTGCCCCACCCACGTGGCCGGCATGCCCGGCCTGGCCTCCTCCTTCCACACAGCCATCCTGAATCTCATCAAGGCCAACGACGCGCACGCCTCCTTCAGCTCCTGCTGCGTCCCCACGCACCGCCGGCCCCTCTCTCTGCTCTACTACGACCAGGACAGCAACGTCGTCAAGACCGACATCCCCGACATGATCGTGGACGCCTGCGGCTGCACCTAACCCGCTGCCTGGCGCGCACACAGCTGCCTTTGCACTGAGCGATTCCTCCCTCGAACCGGGACAGGACAGAGATTCCCACGCCGAGGCCCCGTTCCCACTGGTCCTGCTGTTGGAATTCACGTCCTTCACGTACATGACTGATTGTGCCGCTGAACCGTGCCATGTCAAGCACCGTCTCTCCGTAAGAGGGGTACAGGAATCTCACCCCCCAGCCAACGGCCTCCCTCCGCCCTTTCCCGAGCCGTCCTGCGGATGCCAGCCAGGGCCCCTTTGCAGCAGTGGGTTCTGCCATGTGAAGACCCACCCTGCAGGGAAATTGGACCGAGCCCCTCAGACCTCAGAGACCGCCAGGGGGAGATGCTGGGCAGGGTCAGAGAGGAGGTCAGTGCTGCCTAGACAAATTCAGACGGGAGGAAAGAAGGCGTAATTCTTGATGGGGAGAGTAACTAGCCACAGACACAATTTACCGAGGGCCGGGGTGGCTTCGCCATCAGGGACCATTTTGCAATGGGGACTGGATGATTTTCCAAAAGCTCTGCTCTAGGTGGAGATGCTACCCAGGGGCTCAGACGAGACAGTCAGAAGGGGCCTTGGGATCTCTGAGTCTGCGGCTGAGCGGGGCGGGGAACAGGGGGCCACACCACGTCACTTGGCAGTGTTGGCACCGAATCGGAGCTGCAGCCTGGGACGCCAGCTGGCGCGCGCCGAGTCCTGTGGAACCAGGAGAGCGGTTTGGGGAGAGGGGCGAGCTGGTCCCGACGGGAGGAACGCGGCTTCTCTGTCCGTAAGGCGCCCACAGCCCTTTAAGATGTCTGTTCCTCCCTCCCTGAGCAGCCTCTGTCCGGTGCACTCAATAAAATGCTGTATCTGTGTGCGCGTGACCTCAGTCAGCTAGCAAGTCCCTCCCCATCCCCACACGCGGATCCCAGTCCTGCCCCAGCTGGTGCCAGGAGCCACCACGCAGCTGCCACGGCTAGCACTGTGCAGCGCCCAGCGGGCACCGGGAGCTGAGCTTGGGGCGGGCCTGCCCCCACCAGCCAGCCATTCCCATCAGGGGCCAGGCAGGCTCGGCCTCGCATGCCAGGGCCTGCCCTGCTTCCAGGGGCTACTCAAGAGGCTGCTGCCAGCTCCCCAAGCCGCAGGCTCTTGCTGTCTGCTCCTGGGGCAAGTCTCCTGGGGGGTCGCCTCCCGGGGGGCAGCGCTCGGGACCGCGGGACTGTGGATCCTGGCTCTCTGCAGCCGGCCCGCTGGGGGCGGAGAGGGGGCGTAGCAGGGATGGTCGGAGCTGTTGCCAATCGCTGCTTGCTCAACTTGCGTCCACGCACCCAAACAGCACGCTGAGGGGTGCCAAGCCAGCTGGGGGGCAAAAGTCCTCCCCCAGCTGAGCAAACATGCTCCTTCAATCAGATCTTTTTTCTTTTTTTGGCGAGACGGGGTCTGATCCAACAGCCAAGGCTCCTGAGGGCAGCACGCAGCTGGCTCAGGGACGCTCGGCTCTGGGTCTGACACTCGCACACGGTCCCCAAGTGGGGACAACCGGACTGGTCCCCTGCCGAGCTTCCGGCTTGGGGGCCTCTCAGCGTGGCTTGGCTCCGGGCTCCCCTCCTCGGCCCCCAGCTCTCAGCTGAATTTGCCTTCTCCTGGCTGTGGCCCAGCACCACTCCTGGGGTAGGGGTTGGAGGGTCGAGGGCTCGGAGGGCAGGGGGCAGGACAGCCGGCAGCTCGGGTGTCTAAATCGGGCCGTTCCTCCTGCTGGGAAACCGAGGGTGACCCTGCGTCGACTCCCAAAGCCAAGGCTGAGCTCCGTGCGGAGAACCTCGCTGCCCCCTGGGTCGTGGGCCCCAGCAGATGCAGCTAGGGAAGCGGGGTCTGAGGGCAGCACCGCGGGGCCGACACCAGAGTACGGGGCTGCGTTCCGCTCTCCCCTGCAGTTTCCAATGCGACAGGGCTAGGATATAAGCCACCTTCCGCTCCATCTCGTCCAGATCCTGCTCTTACAGCAGCCTCAGGGCTGCTCTAATTTCTGCCCTGCCCCGGCCCGCTCTGGAACAAAGAATACCCATAATTCAGTGCGTTGCAGCCGTGCCCCAGATCTACCCCATACACCAGGAGCAAGGTTGGTGCAGGGATCTTATGCCGGCTCCACACTGATTCTTAGGGGTCATTTCCCCTCTGTTAAGGCCCCTTTACAGTGCTGGAGCAGGACAAAGGAGAATCCAAGCCCCTCGCTGTATTGGAGTCACTCCAGATTTGCACCAGTGTGAATGAGATGTTATCAGTGTAGCAATTCATCCTGGCGAAAGGGGCTGGATGGCAGCTCCTGCTAACATCCCTGTTCATCCAGAGACCCCTGCAAGGCCAGGATGGAGAACATGGACACGGGGTGTGTGGAAATGCATGACTCAGTTTCCCCACTCCCTTTGGATTGTCGGCCCCAGGGAAGG